CTGATGCCTATATATGACTTCTTACATTTAGTGCATTTAAGTACATAAATTACATTTTTGGAGTTGCAGTTTAAGTTTTTATTTATTGTGAATGTTTTTTGGGGGTTTTCAAAAGTGTAGGAGTTTCCTTCTATAATGATGTCACAAACCCCACATCTTTTTTGTTGCATTTTGTGACGTTTGTGACTCCCTGTATTGTGTGTTGGTTAAATTTAGATGAGGTTAATAAAACATTCCCTACACAAAAGCAATATAAAATTGACAGACAAAAAAATTTCGCTTGATGATGGAACAGAAAACTTTAACTCAATTTAATTCAAATAATTATATTGAATTTTCAGCTCTTGTTTTGAAACATGAGACCTCTTATGTCACAATTGGAATCAAATTTTTTAAAATAAATATATATATATATATATATATATATATATATATATATATATGTGTGTGTGTGTGTTTATATATATATATATATGTATATATATATATATATATATATATATATATATATATATTCTCGACTGTTATATATCGAAAATATATATATATATATATATATATATATATATATATATATTTATATAAATATGTATATATATTTATTCAATGAACGTGTTGATCAGCTACAAGTACCATTTTTCACGCAACCATCAGGTACTTGCCGATTTTTATTTTGTGAGGAAAAAATGTGCATTTAATGCACCCTAGGCAAGTTCAATATTGTACAACGAGATAGTTGATATGTAAATAGTATGCACACACATAAAAAACAAACAAATGTGAGGAAAATGCGTTGGGATATCTGAGGATAAGTGGGACCCATAAATCAAATTAAAGTAGATTACCTTATCAAATTCGAGCCCCTAATTGTTTGTTTTATACATATACATACACACATATATATATATATATATATATATATATATGTTATGGTCCGGTTCCTTGTACCACGGTGATAGTCCAAGGTAGAACCAATAAAGAACTCGAACACGTATATGGAATAACACAGATATATTACAAACAGGAATATATACAAAGAAGTAGAAAGTGTTAGTGCGAACAATCAGGTTTAGTAGAACGCGACTCTGTATCGGACTACCTCTGATTCGACTGACTGACTGACTAACAGACTCCTGACGGACTTCACTTCAGACTGAACAGTATTTCGTCACCCAAACGACTGAACCCCTTGCCTCCTCTTGAGGCGCAGTATTTATTACGTATGGAATAGTCCATTATGTTATTATGGGTAAGGTCCCATAACAATATATATATAGATTATATGCGGGGTACTTAGTGGAAAGTGCTCAATATCCGTGATAGAACTAACATATACTGTTGCATGGATATTATTTTGTAACCCTGGTTTCACGCTTTTTCGACCATCATAAAAACTGGTTTGCTTTTTCATGTCTGATGATCGCAAAAGCATGAAACCTGGGGTTACAAACTGCTATCCATGGAACTGAATATATATTGTGAATATATATGTATGTAATATATATATATATATATATATATATATATATATATATATATATATATGAATGTAATATATATGTAACATATATCTATATATCTCAAAGTTATCTCAATAATAATTTTTTTATCTGTATATATATATATATAATATATATATATATATATATATATATATATCTGTAATATATACATTGGGGAAATAATTATTCGTACACTTGAAAAATTATATTGTAAAAGCCTTAAATAAAAAAATCTTCGCACGTTTTATGTATAAAGACATACTATTAAAAATAATAATAAACAGAAATTAATGCATTTTTTAATTCTAACTTGTGAAAAAAGTATTCGTACAAATCAATTATTAGAATAGAATAATCAATTAATTACGAAAAAAGTATTCTAGAATGTTCCAGTAATGTTATCAGTAATTATAGTTAACGCTATTAGCCATTATCAGAGCATTCTGCAATTTCTAGTCTTACGAGAAGGTTCTAATAATGCCTAAAAGTAAAGAATTGACTATCACAAAAACAACACATTTTGTCTCTTTGGAAAGATGGAAACAGTTACAGAACGATTTCTAGCAACCTGAATATTCTTTTTGCTACAATTTCTTCGTTCATTGCAAGGTTTAAAACTCGTAAGAGCGTCGAAAACCAAAGACGAACAGGTGCGCCGTGGAAGATTTCTCTAAGATAGATAGTATTACTATATAACACTACAAATCAAAACCTACCCACATTTCTCACCCACACAAGACAGACATGCTTACGAAGGTGTTGAGGCCTCACATTTATACACACACCCACACGAACATACACACTTACACACTTACACACATCATACCCACTCACTCCCTAATGAGCCAAATGATAACACACACCCACAGCAATATACACGCTTACACATATCATACTCACTCCCTCCCTAAGAACCAAATAACACATACACAAACACTTAACAGAGACACATCCCTCTCAGGACCAATAAAACTGTCAAACTGGACCAGAAATTCAGAGCAGCATAGATCCATCTAGCTCTCAAATAACAACAAAAAAGAGACTGTTTGGCCAACACAAGTAATGTTAAAAAAATTCATGTTAAAAGATAAAAATTAAAAAAAACAAATGAAAACTACAGACAAAAAGTTAATTTTCTCCATCAAGACATTCATTTTGTAGTTTACTGCTACCAACAAGCAGAAATATTTCTTCTCCTGATGATGGCCATTTTTGGCCGAAACTAGTCGAAGAATCTAAATGAAATAATAAAAAAAAAAGAATATTAATCTACAACCCAGTGTGTCTGAAGAGTTTAATATTTTTATTATTTCAATATATATATATATATATATATATATACACACACACACATATATATATATATATATATATACATATATGGGTGTAATATATATGTGTCTGTGTAATATATATATATATATATGTCGGTGTGTAATATCTGTGTTTTTGTGTGCATAATATATATATATATATATATATATATATATATATATATATATATATGAGTATTACCAGTTTGGGACTGGTATGAATAATTCAAGAAGGATATAAATCCAGTGAATATTGCAAGGCTTCATAAAAATAATCATAGTAATAATAAAGAAGGAAAGTTTAATTATTCATTTCGATTATAATGTGAGTACAGAAATGTTCAACTCTTTCTAATCCAAATGAAGAATTAGTTTCTTTCTTTTTTATTATTTTTTAATACACACACAACAACTATATATATATATATATATATATATATATATATATATATATATATATATACTGCAAAAGTAGCTATACAGTATTATACCAGTATTGGTGTGGCTGTATAATTTGTACATTACTGTATACCTACTTTTGCATTTATCCCTGCCATGCACCAGCTGATAGCAAATCAGTTGGGTTTTAATACCAGCTTGAGGCAATCAGATATCTAGCCACAATGATGAGCTGTGAAACAAAAAAATCTGTTTGGGGTTGACAACGTGTGTGTGTGTGTCTGCGTGTATATATGTGTGTGCGTGTGTATTTTTTTTTCTAAATAAATTCCCATTGAAGCGTGACCAGCTACAAGTATCATTATATATTTATTTATTTATTTTTATTTTTTTTTTCCCGCAATCATCAGGTGGTCAGCGATTGTTATTTTGTGAGGGAAAAATGGGTATTTTATACTCCCTCGGCTAGTTCAATATTGTACAACTAGGGGTAGTTGATATGTAAATACTATGCACACACAAACCACACCACTTCACCGAGGGATAAATGCATATCCGTTCAAGATAAATCACCTCTACTTGGCGGGGAGAAACCCAAACACTACGAAAAAAACAGAAACTTTACAAGAAAAGAAATTTTAAGATAGTATGGGTTACAGTACGGCCTCAGAAAACGAACATAATGTCAAAATTAAAGAATAAAATAAGATAATGATCAACAATACCGGGACCTCGAAACCCCCTCTGCCACAGCATATAATATAATATAATATATATATATATATATATATATATATATATATATATATATATATTTTAGTTGGATAGATGTGATTTGTTACCTTGGGTTTCACACTTTAGTGATCGTCAGACAAAAGAGTTTGTCTGACGATCGCTAAAGCATGAAAACCCAGGTCACAAACTCACATCTATCCAAAATCAAATATGTTAGTTTCTATTCTGATATTGAGCGCTTTCTAATAAATTACCGCATATAATATATACATAATTATACATATATATATATAATATATATACATAATTATACATATATATATTTATTTATATTTATATACACTTTTCACACACACACATATATATATATATATATATATATTTAAAAGTAAAGTATATATATATATATATATATATATATATTTTACGTTTAAAAAATATATATACATATATATTTTATACATATAATACCCTACTAACTGCACATATACTCTCTCTATGTATATATATATATATATATATATATATATATATATATATATATATATATATATATATATAAAGGAAATCTCGTAAATAGTAGTGTTAAATTGCCGATTCGCAAATATACAACTAGACCGAACTACTTTTTTACTTACCTTCCTTTTCTTTCCTACCTGTCTCTAATTAGCTCCTGCCAGCTTATCATAAAGAAATTCACACACGAGGTGGACAGGGGGATGTAAAGATTCTATTCGAAACAATTCTTGCTCCAACGATTTCACGCGTATACTCTCGCAACTCTGTCATAGGCTCATATTGTAAATGCTGTGCTATAAGTCTCTCCAGTCCGCTGCCCGTACTACAGACAAAAGATCGTTTTAGTTTACTTTGTAGGTCCCTGAACAGATCACTTCGTCAACGCTGTTCGTCTGAATCTGTCTATTCAGATAGATAGTAAAAACACATACTCATATTTGGCATCTTTTTTTTTTTTTTTAAGGAGAAAAAAAAAACTTTGTTTTATTTTTATCTTTTGCCACATTACAAAAACAAAATAATTTATTTAAAGATGACCAGCTCGACTAAACACTTTCTTTTACTAATTATTTTTTGCACCGGATTTTCCATCCCGTTCGTTGCTAGTTCGGGCTTCGACAATGAACACGATTCATTACGGTATAGTATTGACGCATTCCGAAAACTTTTGACAGCATTAAATATTACTAATGGACTTTATATTCCCAAAGATCGGCTTGTGCACGTATTGGATAAAATCACAAGTCGATATGTTTGTGAAACAAAGGCCCCTTGCTCAAATGCTCTG